ACATTTGGTTGGGGTAATTCATCCGTTTCCTGATAGCCAAGTAGGATACTAACAAGGCTCCAAGGATCAAGGTCCCAGTAAGACCTGCCACCCACAGAAGCTTTGAGTCTGCAGGAACACGGAGCTTTTCTGGAGGGTCCTTAGTGGCTTGGAGTAGAATCATGGGGCCTTTGCTAGAAGCACTAGCAGTAGTGTTCTGAAAACTGGTGTCGGAACTACTTCTTCTTCGGCTGAGATCAGGGCAGGTTACCACACAGGACGGTGTCTCAGCAGGCTGGCAGACTGACACGCTGCAGTGCAGATACCGGTCCCCTAAGGGCCTGCTTCACAGCTGTAGGGTCCACAGAGCTGAAGGTGAAGATGCTGAAGCGCTGGTGGTGTGAGGGAGGAAAGACACAATAAGCCGGACCACTTTTCCTGTCATGGCCGCTACATAACCGTGGCTGCCATTTTTAGAGGTCACATGTCCATGAGGGAGGTGGATGAGCAAATGTTCAACATTCCACTGGAGCGGAACCGTGTGGGAGCCTCCTCCAAACTGGACATTCATATTTTAATTTGAATGTCAATTAAAAAAAAAAATCTGTCCCTGTATCATTTATTCGCATGCAGCCTCAGGCTTCAGCCATACCTTCTCCAGGCAAATTCCGTTTCCCTGCAGCACCATCTCCTTTGGCTCTTCCGCAACCAGTGAAAGCATTTAGTAATCATGGCTCTGGTTCTCCTGATATCCAAGAAATAACACAGCTAGCACAAACCACCTCCTCACCTGGGCCTCCTGTGGTTCCGAACACAGTCTCAGTAAATCCTCCCAGCAATATCAACAGCACTACTCTAACCAGACCTGCAGGGACAACTGCAATGAGAAGTGGCTTGCCCAGACCCAGTGCCCCTTCTGCTGGGGGCATACCAGTGTCTCACAGCAAACTTGGCACAACCTGTTCGCAGATCCTTACCAGCTCCTAAAACCTATGGTAGCATGAAAGATGACAGTTGGAAAGATGGCTGTTATTGACCAGCAAAGACAAGAATGCAGAAGTCCACGGCTTCATGGATACCCTTCACAAGGCTAAAAACAACTTTTATATGCAGACTGTTCAGATAAGACTCTTGGGATTTATAAAATCCCAGCCCTCTCTGTCTTAATTAGCACAAACTGACAGAGATCATCAAACAGCACTTTAATGACATTTAACATCAGATATGTTTGGTAATCACACAATCACTCTCCATAGAATCACTTTTATTTTTGTTTAATAGAAACTAGGATGATTTTTTAAATATCTGACAGAGGCCAATATCTGGGCAAATACTTAATGGATGCCAAAGAGAAATGCCCATTTGTAAATGAGAAAAATGCCCACTTGTGCATAAGAAAATGGTGAATTCAAGCTATCCAAAACTTCACATTCAACTAATTTACTGTAATAAATAGTATCAATAAAAAAAATTATGCGGGAGTGGTGGCACATGCCTGTAATCCCAGCTACTCAAGAGGCTGAGGCAGAAGAATCCCTTGAACCTAGAAGGTGGAGGTTGCAGTGAGCTGAGATCGCACCACTGCACTCCAGCCTGGACAACAGCGAGACTCTGTCTTAAAAAAGAAAAGAAAAAATCCATGGAGTTCTATAGCTTGTTTTCTTACTTGGCATCTACTGTACTGTTTTGTTTTATTATCATACCAGCAGCATACTACAAAAACAGCACAATATATATACCCATCATTTTTTCCCGTTAAAAAAAAAAGTGAGGGTCACGCCAAAATTATGGCCACGTCTGGTGTTGTAGCTGTTAGTTAATTATTCGGCACACACACATCCCTAGGTTAATACCTGTCATAACAAGCAACTGTACCTCTTAAGTCCATCGTAGTTAGAAGGCGCTGTTTTGAATTTTTAGATTTGCTTTTACAAGAATGGCAGACGCATTCACTAGAACGACACATATCAGTATTAGCGGAAACAGTAAAGAAAGGAATACACGATGCTGATTCTGAAGCAAGAATGGAAGCCAGAAAATGTTACTGGGGTTTTCACAGTCACTTCAGCGGAGAAGCAGAGCACTTATACCACACCTTGGAGTCCTCCTACCAAAAAGCCCTGCAGTCCCACCTGAAGAACTCAAACAGCATCGTGTCTCTGCCTCAGTCTGATCGCTCGTCTTCCAGCTCTCGAGAGTCTAAATCGGCCGCTGTCTGCCAAAAGAAGTCCTACTGGAAGTACCACGTCTAGACGTTCTACAGTTAGTACCAAATCTGTGTCAACGACTGGGTCCCTTCAGCGATCTCGAAGTGACATTGATGTGAACGCAGCAGCCAGTGCCAAATCCAAAGTCTCCTCATCTTCGGGAACGATGCCTTTCAGCTCCGCAGCGGCTTTGCCTCCAGGCTCATATGCATCCTTAGGTCGGATCCGCACAAGACAGCAAAGCTCTGGGAGTGCCACCAACGTCGCCTCTACACCTTCTGATAACTGGGCCACAGTCGCGCTAAAGTGGTTTCACAGTCCCAGCGATCCAGATCTGCTAATCCTGCTGGTGCCGGCAGCCGGTCAAGTTCTCCAGGAAAATTGTTGGGAAGTAGTTATGGTGGACTTGCTGGGGGCTCCTCACAAGGCCCGCCTGTGACACCATCTTCAGAAAAGCGAAGCAAGATTCCCAGGAGCCAGGGATGTAGCTGGGAAACAAGTCCAAACCGAATAGGATTAGATTGGTTTGGGCTTGGCCAGCCAGGAAGAATACCTGGTTCTGTGAATGCCATGAGAGTTTTGAGCACAAGTACAGATCTTGAAGCTGCTGTTGCTGATGCTTTGCTGTTAGGAGACTCCAGGAGCAAGAAGAAGCCTGTGAGGAGGAGGTATGAGCCGTATGGGATGTATTCTGACGATGATGCCAACAGTGATGCCTCAAGTGTTTGCCCTGAGCACTCGTATGGCTCCAGGAATGGTGGCATTCCCCATTATCTGCAGCAGACCGAGGATGTAGCAGCAGTTCTCAACCACTGTGCTAATTCAAACTGGTCAGATAGGAAAGAAGGGCTTCTGAGCCTGCAGAACCTACTGAAGAGCCAAAGAACACTGAGTCGAATTGAACTGAAAAGATTGTGTGAGATTTTCACCCGGATGTTTGCTGATCCTCATAGCAAGAGTTTTCAGTATGTTTTTGGAGACTCTTGTGGATTTTATAATAATTCATAAGGATGACTTGCAAGACTGGCTTTTTGTTCTTCTCACACAATTACTTAAGAAAATGGGAGCAGATTTACTTGGATCTATGCAAGCAAAAGTCCAAAAGGCTCTAGATGTCACCAGAGACTCCTTTCCATTTGATCAACAATTTAACATTTTGATGAGATTTATTGTGGATCAAACTCAAACTCCAAACCTCAAGGTCAAAGTTGCAATCCTGAAATATATTGAGTCTCTGGCCAGACAGATGGATCCAACAGATTTTGTAAACTCTAGTGAGACAAGGGTTGCTGTTTCTAGAATCGTAACCTGGACAACAGAACCAAAGAGTTCAGACGTGAGAAAGGCAGCACAAATTGTGCTAATCTCTCTGTCTGAATTGAATACTCCTGAATTTACCATGTTACTTGGTGCCTTGCCAAAAACATTCCAGGATGGTGCCACCAAACTCCTGCATAACCACCTCAAGAATTCCAGTAACATCAGTGTGAGCTCTCCAAGCAATACGATTGGCCAGACACCCTCCCGACACACCAGCAGCAGGACCAGCCCCCTGGCCTCACCCACCAACTGTTCCCATGGGGGTCTGTCTCCAAGCATGCTGGACTATGATACAGAGAACCTGAATGAACTCTGAAGAAATCTATAGTTCTCTACTTGGAGTTACAGAAGCCATTGAAAAGTTTAGTTTCGAAGCCAAGAGGATCTGAATGAGCCAATTAAACGAGATGGCAAAAAGGAGTGTGATATTGTGTCCCGCGATGGGGGCGCTGCCTCTCCTGCCACCAAGGGCCCAGCGGGGGGCAGCGAGGTAGAAGGAGGCCGGACAGCTCTGGATAACAAGACCTCGCTACTCAGCACCCAGCCTCCACGTGCCTTCCCGGGGCCATGGGCGCGAGAGTACAACCCGTACCCCTACTCAGATGCCATCAACTCCTACGACAAGACCGCCCTGAAGGGGGCTGTGTTCGATGACGACATGGAGCAGCTTCGAGATGTGCCCATCGACCATTCTGACCTGGTGGCTGACCTTCTGAAGAGCTGTCCAACCACAACGAGCGGGTGGAGGAACGGAAAGGAGCCCTGCTGGAGCTGCTCAAAATCACACGGGAAGACAGCCTTGGCGTCTGGGAGCACTTCAAGACCATTCTGCTCCTGCTGCTGGAGACCCTTGGAGACAAAGACCATTCAATTCGAGCACTGGCATTGAGAGTTTTGAGGGAAATTCTGAGAAATCAACCAGCAAGATTTAAAAACTACGCTGAGCTGACAATTATGAAGACTCTGGAAGCCCACAAAGACTCCCATAAGGAGGTGGTGAGAGCGGCTGAGGAGGCTGCGTCCACACTGGCCAGTTCCATCCACCCGGAGCAGTGCATCAAGGTGCTCTGCCCCATCATCGAGACGGCTGACTATCCCATCAACCTTGCTGCCATCAAGATGCAGACCAAAGTCGTCGAGAGGATCGCCAAGGAGTCGTTGCTGCAGCTCCTCGCCGACATCATCCCAGGCTTGCTGCAGGGTTATGACAACACCAAAAGTAGTGTGCGTAAGGCCAGCGTGTTTTGCTTAGTGGCGATTTATTCCGTAATTGGAGAAGACCTGAAACCTCACCTCGCACAGCTCACAGGGAGCAAGATGAAGCTACTAAACTTATACATAAAGAGGGCCCAGACCAACAACAGCAACAGCAGCTCCTCCTCCGATGTCTCCAC